CCCCCAGGGCAGTACCCGGATCCCCATACATGTCCCCCAGGGCAGTACCCGGACCCCCATACATGTCGCCCAGGGCAGTACCCGGATCCCCATACATGTCCCTTAGGGCAGTACCCGGATCCCCATCTTTCTCATCCTCTGCAAATTCCTACCCCAACCTGTCCATGTATCTCCTACTCTGTCGGCCTTTAGGTGATCCCTGAAAACTCATCTCTTCAGGGAAGCCGTAACAGACTTACCTGGCTACGCTCCGGGATCCACCTACAACCCCGCCTACTCCCACCGCATCACGCTGCTCCTCCTTCCCTCCACCTGGCTGAGTCTAGGTGCTAACCCTCTCATGTGAGGGGTATGAAGTAATACAGACTGTTACTGGCTGAGTCTGGGTGCTAACCCACTCATGTGAGGAGTATGAAGTAATACAGACTGTTACTGGCTGAGTCTGGGTGCTAACCCTCTCATGTGAGGAGTATGAAGTAATACAGACTGTTACTGGCTGAGTCTGGGTGCTAACCCTCTCATGTGAGGGGTATGAAGTAATACAGACTGTTACTGGCTGAGTCTGGGTGCTAACCCTCTCATGTGAGGAGTATGAAGTAATACAGACTGTTACTGGCTGAGTCTGGGTGCTAACCCTCTCATGTGAGGAGTATGAAGTAATACAGACTGTTACTGGCTGAGTCTGGGTGCTAACCCTCTCATGTGAGGAGTATGAAGTAATACAGACTGTTACTGGCTGAGTCTGGGTGCTAACCCTCTCATGTGAGGAGTATGAAGTAATACAGACTGTTACTGGCTGAGTCTGGGTGCTAACCCTCTCATGTGAGGGGTATGAAGTAATACAGACTGTTACTGGCTGAGTCTGGGTGCTAACCCTCTCATGTGAGGAGTATGAAGTAATACAGACTGTTACTGGCTGAGTCTGGGTGCTAACCCTCTCATGTGAGGAGTATGAAGTAATACAGACTGTTACTGGCTGAGTCTGGGTGCTAACCCTCTCATGTGAGGAGTATGAAGTAATACAGACTGTTACTGGCTGAGTCTGGGTGCTAACCCTCTCATGTGAGGAGTATGAAGTAATACAGACTGTTACTGGCTGAGTCTGGGTGCTAACCCTCTCATGTGAGGGGTATGAAGTAATACAGACTGTTACTGGCTGAGTCTGGGTGCTAACCCTCTCATGTGAGGGGTATGAAGTAATACAGACTGTTACTGGCTGAGTCTGGGTGCTAACCCTCTCATGTGAGGAGTATGAAGTAATACAGACTGTTACTCGCTGAGTCTGGGTGCTAACCCTCTCATGTGAGGGGTATGAAGTAATACAGACTGTTACTGGCTGAGTCTGGGTGCTAACCCTCTCATGTGAGGGGTATGAAGTAATACAGACTGTTACTGGCTGAGTCTGGGTGCTAACCCTCTCATGTGAGGGGTATGAAGTAATACAGACTGTTACTGGCTGAGTCTGGGTGCTAACCCTCTCATGTGAGGGGTATGAAGTAATACAGACTGTTACTCGCTGAGTCTGGGTGCTAACCCTCTCATGTGAGGGGTATGAAGTAATACAGACTGTTACTGGCTGAGTCTGGGTGCTAACCCTCTCATGTGAGGGGTATGAAGTAATGCAGACTGTTACCCGCTGAGTCTGGGTGCTAACCCTCTCATGTGAGGGGTATGAAGTAATGCAGACTGTTACCCGCTGAGTCTGGGTGCTAACCCTCTCATGTGAGGAGTATGAAGTAATACAGACTGTTACTCGCTTAGTCTGGGTGCTAACCCTCTCATGTGAGGACTATGAAGTAATACAGACTGTTACCCGCTGAGTCTGGGTGCTAACCCTCTCATGTGAGGAGTATGAAGTAATACAGACTGTTACCCGCTGAGTCTGGGTGCTAACCCTCTCATGTGAGGGGTATGAAGTAATACAGACTGTTACCCGCTGAGTCTGGGTGCTAACCCTCTCATGTGAGGGGTATGAAGTAATGCAGACTGTTACCCGCTGAGTCTGGGTGCTAACCCTCTCATGTGAGGAGTATGATGTAATACAGACTGTTACTCGCTTAGTCTGGGTGCTAACCCTCTCATGTGAGGGGTATGAAGTAATACAGACTGTTACTGGCTGAGTCTGGGTGCTAACCCTCTCATGTGAGGGGTATGAAGTAATACAGACTGTTACTCGCTGAGTCTGGGTGCTAACCCTCTCATGTGAGGGGTATGAAGTAATACAGACTGTTACTCGCTGAGTCTGGGTATGAAGTAATACTTGTAGCATCTCTGCTAGAGTCTCGTCTCTGCTCTGCTGCTGCACAAGGCACGGAAAGATCAGCAGAGTATTTACCAGGTATCTGTCCCTATGCTTGTGCAGGCTCTGGAAGTATCTCTGTCCCTTGTAAGCCCACATGATTGGGAGGAGTAATACAAGTAGTGGGAGTGGCTACATAATGAAGTGGGAAGGGATATAGATGAATTGTGGCCTACAATGGGAGGGACTACAAATAAGAATGGGTGGAGCTATGTGAAATAATAGGAGGGGTTAAAAAGCTTTCACAGATTGATGGTGACAATTCATAACTAGGAGAAGCTAAGTGGTATGGTGGGAGGAGTGATTTATAGAACAAGGAGAGGTTTTATATGGCATAAAGGGGGGAGTTATACAATGAGGGGAGGAGTTTGAGTGGAATTATATGATAAAATAAAACAAATTACACAGAACAAGGGAGGGACTTAGAGAATGAGGGGAGGAGTTATATGGAATAAAGGGAGTGGTTTTGAAAGGTATCTCCATATGGAATAAGGAAAGAAGTTATAAAATGAAGGGGTGTTATATGGGAAAAGAGGCGGAGTTAAAGAAGGAAAAGGGTGTTATATGGTAGGAGGGGAGGAGCTATGAATTGATGATAGGTATAATATGAAATAATAGGACTAATGAGGGGAGGAGCTATGGAGTGAAGTGAAACCTAATATGCAAATAGAGGAAGAGTTATAGAATAAGGAGAGGTCTAATTTATGGGGGGTGAGGGGGGGGGGTTATGGAGTGAGGAGGAACCTAATATCTAAGGAGGGGAGGAGTTATGGTAGGAGGAAAGGTGGTATAAAAATGGAGGGAGGAGTTACAGAGTGATAAGAGTCATTAAATGGAATGGGGAGGACTTATGAAAGAAGCAATAAAAGAATGAGGGGAGGAGCTAAAGAATGAGAGGCCTTACCAGAGAGAAGGGAGGAGTTATGGAGTTAAGAGAGGCCTTAAACATGAGGGGAGGAGTTATGGTGTGAGGAAGACATTATATGGCAGTGCTGGGGAACCTCCAGCTGTGGTAAAACTACAAATCCCATGAGGCATTGCAAGATTCTCAGAGCCACAGGTATAACTTCCAGAGACAGGTGCATCATGGGATTTGTAGCTTCACCACAGCTGGAGGGCCAGAGGTCCCCCATCCCTGTTATATGAAATTAAGGACATTATGAAGTAGACAGGCCTTACAGGGAAGGAAGGGAGGAGTTATGGTGAGAGGACAGGCCTTACAGGGAAGGAAGGGAGGAGTTATGGTGTGAGGACAGGCCTTATAGGGAAGGAAGGGAGGAGTTATGGTGTGAGGACAGGCCTTACAGGGAAGGAAGGGAGGAGTTATGGTGTGAGGACAGGCCTTACAGGGAAGGGAGGGAGGAGGTATGGTGTGAGGACAGGCCTTATAGGGAAGGAAGGGAGGAGTTATGGTGTGAGGACAGGCCTTACAGGGAAGGAAGGGAGGAGTTATGGTGTGAGGACAGGCCTTATAGGGAAGGAAGGGAGGAGTTATGGTGTGAGGACAGGCCTTATAGGGAAGGAAGGGAGGAGTTATGGTGTGAGGACAGGCCTTATAGGGAAGGAAGGGAGGAGTTATGGTGTGAGGACAGGCCTTACAGGGAAGGAAGGGAGGAGTTATGGTGTGAGGACAGGCCTTATAGGGAAGGAAGGGAGGAGTTATGGTGTGAGGACAGGCCTTACAGGGAAGGAAGGGAGGAGTTATGGTGTGAGGACAGGCCTTATAGGGAAGGAAGGGAGGAGTTATGGTGTGAGGACAGGCCTTACAGGGAAGGAAGGGAGGAGTTATGGTGTGAGGACAGGCCTTATAGGGAAGGAAGGGAGGAGTTATGGTGTGAGGACAGGCCTTATAGGAAAGGAAGGGAGGAGTTATGGTGTGAGGACAGGCCTTATAGGGAAGGAAGGGAGGAGTTATGGTGTGAGGACTGGCCTTACAGGGAAGGAAGGGAGGAGTTATGGTGTGAGGACAGGCCTTATAGGGAAGGAAGGGAGGAGTTATGGTGTGAGGACAGGCCTCACAGGGAAGGAAGGGAGGAGTTATGGTGTGAGGACAGGCCTTACAGGGAAGGAAGGGAGGAGTTATGGTGTGAGGACAGGCCTTATAGAGAAGGAAGGGAGGAGTAATGGTGTGAGGACAGGCCTTACAGGGAAGGAAGGAGTTATGGTGTAAAGACAACCCTTATCTGGAATAATGGGAGGAGATATGTGATGAGGACAGGCTTTGTATGAAGTGGTGGGAGGTGATATGTGATGAGGACAGGCTTTGTATGGAGTGGTGGGAGGAGATATGTGATGAGGACAGGCCTTGTTTGGAGTGGTGGGAGGAGATATGTGATGAGGACAGGCTTTGTATGAAGTGGTGGGAGGAGATATGTGATGAGGACAGGCCTTGTTTGGAGTGGTGGGAGGAGATATGTGATGAGGACAGGCCTTGTTTGGAGTGGTGGGAGGAGATGTGTGATGAGGACAGGCCTTGTATGGAGTGGTGGGAGGTGATATGTGATGAGGACAGGCCTTGTATGGAGTGGTGGGACGAGATATGTGATGAGGACAGGTCTTGTTTGGAGGTGTGGGAGGAGATATGTGATGAGGACAGGCCTCGTATGAAGTGGTGGGAGGAGATATGTGAGGAGTACAGGACTTATATGTAGTGGTGGGAGGAGATATGTGATGAGGACAGGCCTTGTATAGAGTAGTAGGAGGAGATATGTGATGAGGACAGGTCTTGTATAGAGTGGTGGGAGGAGATATGTGAGAAGGACAGGCCTTGTTTGGAGTGGTGGGAGGAGATATGTGAGGACAGGCCTTGTATAGAGTGGTGGGAGGAGATACGTGATGAGGACAGGCCTTGTTTGGAGTGGTGGGAGGAGATATGTGAGGAGGACAGGCCTTGTATAGAGTGGTGGGAGGAGATTTGTGATGAGGACAGGCCTTGTATAGAGTGGTGGGAGGAGATATGTGATGAGGACAGGCCTTGTAGGGAGTGATGGGAGGAGATATGTGATGAGGACAGGCCTTGTAGGGAGTGGTGGGAGGAGATATGTGATGGGGACAGGTCTTGTAGGGAGTGGTGGGAGGAGATATGTGATGAGGACAGGCCTTGTGTAGAGTGGTGGGAGGGGATATGTGCGGACAGGCCTTGTATAGAGTGGTGGGAGGGGATATGTGCGGACAGGCCTTGTATAGAGTGGTGGGAGGGGATATGTGCGGACAGGCCTTGTATAGAGTGGTGGGAGGGGATATGTGCGGACAGGCCTTGTATAGAGTGGTGGGAGGGGATATGTGCGGACAGGCCTTGTATAGAGTGGTGGGAGGGGATATGTGCGGACAGGCCTTGTATAGAGTGGTGGGAGGGGATATGTGCGGACAGGCCTTGTATAGAGTGGTGGGAGGGGATATGTGCGGACAGGCCTTGTATAGAGTGGTGGGAGGGGATATGTGCGGACAGGCCTTGTATAGAGTGGTGGGAGGGGATATGTGCGGACAGGCCTTGTATAGAGTGGTGGGAGGGGATATGTGCGGACAGGCCTTGTATAGAGTGGTGGGAGGGGATATGTGCGGACAGGCCTTGTATAGAGTGGTGGGAGGGGATATGTGCGGACAGGCCTTGTATAGAGTGGTGGGAGGGGATATGTGCGGACAGGCCTTGTATAGAGTGGTGGGAGGGGATATGTGCGGACAGGCCTTGTATAGAGTGGTGGGAGGAGATTTGTGATGAGGACAGGCCTTGTTTGGAGTGGTGGGAGGAGATATGTAATGAGCACAGGCCTTTTATAGAGTGGTGGGAGGAGATATGTGATGAGGAGAGGCCTTGTTTGGAGTGGTGGGAGGAGATATGTGATGAGGACAGGCCTTGCATGGAGTGGTGGGAGGAGATATGTGAGGAGGACAGGCCTTGGGGTATATATATAATCACAGGAAGGGTAATAGGGCGATGTATTGAGGGTGACACTGATGGAAATGTAGACAGGACACAATGTTGCTATGGTTACATGAGGCTGAGCAGAGGGAGCCGCACAGGAAAGGGTTAATGGCAGATCTTGTGATGAAGGAATGAAGCGTCTTTCTTCTCTGCAGCCGCATAGAACGCAGTCAGGGAGGAGACCCCCGCACACCGATAGAGACAGAGAGAGACCACCTACCACACACAGACAGACAGACTGCAGACGATGCTTATTCTTCATAATGATCAGACTGCAGACAGACAGACGCACAACAATGGGGAGAGAGACGCAGGAGAGAACACAGCTCAATATACCAGCTCTGCCCGGCGACAGACCATGGAGGAGGAGGAGGAGGAGGAGGGGGAGGAGGGGAGAGGGAGTCATCATCTCCCTGTACCTCACCCAACAGCCTGGATCCCTATACTGATCCCCAACCAGATCTCATATAATGACCCACCACCCCCGCCTGGATCCCTATACTGATCCCTAACCAGATCTCTGACCAGCTCCTACCAGCAGATCCACAACCAGATCTCATATAATGACCCACCACCCCCGCCTGGATCCCTATACTGATCCCCAACCAGATCTCATATAATGACCCACCACCCCCGCCTGGATCCCTATACTGATCCCTAACCAGATCTCTGACCAGCTCCTACCAGCAGATCCACAACCAGATCTCATATAATGACCCACCACCCCCGCCTGGATCCCTATACTGATCCCTATCCAGGTCTCTGACCAGCTCCTACCAGCAGATCCACAACCAGATCTCATATAATGACCCACCACCCCCACGTGGATCCCTATACTGATCCCTAACCAGATCTCTGACCAGCTCCTACCAGCACATCCCCAACCAGATCTCATATAATGACCCACCACCCCCGCCTGGATCCCTATACAGATCCCTAACCAGATCTCATTATAATGACCCACCACCCCCGCCTGGATCCCTATACTGAACCCTAACCAGATCTCTGACCAGCTCCTATCAGAACATCCCCAACCAGATCTCATATAATGACCCACAGCCCCCGCCTGGATCCCTATACTGATCCCTAACCAGATCTCATATAATGACCCACCACCCCCGCCTGGATCCCTATACTGATCCCTAACCAGATCTCTGACCAGCTCCTATCAGAACATCCCCAACCAGATCTCATATAATGACCCACCACCCTCGCCTGGATCCCTATACTGATCCCTACAACATCTATGACCAGCTCCTACCAGAACATCCCCAACCAGATCTCATATAATGACCCACCACCCCCGCCTGGATCCCTATACTGATCCCCAACCAGATCTCTGACCAGCTCCTACCAGAACATCCCCAACCAGTTCTCATATAATGACCCACCACCCCCACCTGGATCCCTATAGTGATCCCTACAAGATCTCTGACCAGCTCCTACCAGCAGATCCCCAACCAGATCTCATATAATGACCCCCCCCCGCCTGGATCCCTATACTGATCCCTACAAGATCTCTGACCAGCTCCTACCAGCAGATCCCCAACTAGATCTCATATAATGATCCCCTACCTGGATTCCTATACTGATCCCTACAAGATCTATGACCAGCTCCTACCAGCAGACCCCCAACCAGATCTCATGTAAAGACCCACCAACCCCGGCTGGATCCCTATACTGATCCCTACAAGATCTCTGACCAGCTCCTACCAGCAGATCCCCAACCAGATCTCATATAATGACCCACCACCCCAACCTGGATCCATACACTGATCCCTACAAGATCCCTTATATGACACACTTCCCACTCCAGCCTGGATCTTTACTCTGATCCCCAACCACTTCCCGTATAATGCTTCCCAGCGGCCCAGATCCTACTACTGATCTCCAACCAGATCCCGGACATTCCCTACATCACCCCGGGCCAGATCCTAATACTGATCTCCAACCAGATCCCAGACACTCCCTACATCACCCGGGCCAGATCCTAATACTGATCTCCAACCAGATCCCAGACACTCCCTACATCACCCGGGCCAGATCCTAATACTGATCTCCAACCAGATCCCGGACACTCTCTACATCACACCCGGGCCAGATCCTAATACTGATTGTGACGACATGGTGATGAGTTTATGAGGTAAATGTGTATTGGTGTTGGGTTATGTGTGAGTGCGTTATGCTGTGTGACCTGGTTATGGAAAGACTATCAGCCCCATCCCCCGTTATCTCCCATTGTTCTCTGAGGGAGCTCAGAACAATGACATTCTGGCCAGGCTCCTGCTATGGCTGTCTGGAGTTCGTTAGCAGGTGGACACCTGTGGTGTTGAGCAGACCGATGGTCTGGGAGGGGAGGGTGGATGTGATGGGATTATATTCTGATTTCATCACTTGCTGTATAAAAGTTTGTGCAGTTGCTCAATAAAGCAGAGTTTGTTTACCCTACACTCAAGCCTTGGCTAGTGACTGGGGAAACTGGGAGCTACAGATCAGCGGGTTCCAATATCTCCTCAGCAAGGAAGAAGACAGCGGCGGACATACTCATCCTGAGTACGGGGGTCCGTCACATTGGTGGCAAGCGGTGGGATGCTCTTCCTTGCCTAAGGAGACATTCAAACCACCACCGGGACCAAGTTTGCTGCTGACATAGGAGAAGAGCCACAGTTGCCTACGGCCATGGAAGCGCTGGCCCAGCTCGACAATCCTGGTTCTGCCCAGGATATGCTGGGAAGGAGAGACGCTTTACGCCGGGAGATCTGGAGGGAGACTCTTCAACTGCAGCAGCACTATTGTGGCAAGGTCCTCCCTACATCCAAGGAACGATACTGGCTGCAATGGGACTTGCGTGTGCCTTTCCTGGGAGAGCAGCCCCGGGAGGAATGGCTGTCGGAGATGGATTGGCTGCTCCAAACGGAACTGATGCTGGATGACGGGTACCGGGCGCTGCAGTGGTATGTCACCCAATTGTGTCCATGGCTGGAGAACAATGATCCCACAGAGGGCTATGACTTCGGCGGCCCGGGACTTATATTTGAGGCGCTCCAGGAGGATCCACAATTTGGGAGTGCACAGGAGTGGAGATGGGAGGACATACGTGATTTTAGGGAGGTGGGACTCCCCAGTGAACTCGGATTGAGGGCTGATCTGGACTTTT